TAATTTTGAGGTTGAGATATTCAATTGGTGGGATTTCTGCAGTTGAAATAACCTTTTCTACGAAATTTTAAAGTGTGCCTTACTTCTACCATGCAAAATTGATACCTTCTATAAACTTTTTTCTTTATGAATTTCAATCTTATTTCATATCATCCCTTGCTGCAAACTCTCTCTCTCTCTCTAAAAGTCTCAACCATTAGATGTCAAATATCACTAGGAGGTACCATTAACCTAGCTCAACGTCAAAGAAAGCTTCACTTTAAGACTTTTTGCAGCTAAATGATACACGCCAATCATCTCATTTTATAATTGAGGGCTTGGATGTATGACCTCTGTATAGAAAAGGCAAGGCCCCAATGTATATTACCCCACGATCTAGAAGATAATGGTGGTGAAAATTTGTTTTAGCACATATTTTGCTCTAGATGGAGTAAACTCCCTCAAACAGATAACTTAGGAGGATCTTTTAATATGGGATTTTGGAATCAACTTTAATAAGTATTTTTTCGAGGAAATGTATATAATGAAATCATTAATTTTTTTATATGAGGAGGTCACAAATATTATTGACTGTTAGATTTAAAATCGGGTGATTGAGGATGTGTCGTTATTTAAACACAAAATCCAAAATAAAATTTCTCAAATGTTGTGATTCGCTTTCATCTATTAGATTTCATATCTAATAGGTAAAAATAATTTTGGCTTCATTTTGCTAAAAATAAATGATCTCATTATGTACAATCTTTTTTTTTCAAAAAAAATAATATTATAGGAGTACGAGGCTCTAAATGATCAAATTAAGACGCATCTAAAAAATTTCACCAAAAAAAAGTTGTTTTCATGCCAACTATACTCAAAAGACTATTATTTATCATGGGGCACACGTTGATGGACTTGTAAGAACCCACCGGATCACATCTCAACTTCACTCACTATTCATGTTGCATAAATATGGATCAATTACAAAATGGAACACATTGTTTTTAAATTACAGCCGCATCTTTTTTTTTTCACCAATAAACCAAACACTAGATAGATGGGTTTTTTGGCGTTTAAACCACCAGAACCATGCCTTTTATTTCCTACAATCTCTGCAGCTTTCTCCTCAAGAGAAAAACCCCACAATTGACTCCACCCCTGCTTCATTTATCTCCACCTCTAAATTTGGAGACCCTCCTCCAAATTTGACCCGGCCCGGCTCCACCTGGTTCAGCGCACATCATCCTTAGCCCCTCTCTTTCTTTCCCTCTCTAATCTTTGTCCCTTCCTCTCTCTCTCTCCCTCTACAAAATAAGCATGGAGTGGCCACCAAACCAACCTAAAACCAGGTCCTCGGGATCCCTCTGCTTTGGGCTAAAATCCCTGTGAAAAGAACCATCCAACACACTTCCAGATCCGCAGAGACCCAAAAGATTATTGGTAGTAGCCATGGCTGTCGGAAGGGGCTCATTCCAGTTTGGTATTCTTCTTCTTGGGGCAATGGCTTCGATACCAAATTTGGATGGAGCCATGGATGGAGGGAATGTTGAGGGTAGAGAGATGAGAGACAGAGCACATGTTGGGTAATTCTCTTGGGAAGAGAAAGAATAGGCCATTGACCATAGGAACCATGGCGAGGTTCGACAGAGGACAAAAAACAGAAACTGACAAAAACAGAGGAGAGAGAAAGAAAGAGAGGACAGAGATAAACAGGGGAATCCACCATGAGGTTTCGCTTTCGAGTTTTGATGGTGAAAGAGAACGCAGGCGAGTGAAGGGGAATTTTGATGTTTAAAGAGGTGTGTGGTACTTGGAATACCGTGCAATTTCTTTTTGTTTACACGTAAAAAATTCACCAGTTTAATGTACGGTTTATCGGATAGGCGATAATTTGAGAAAAAAAAAAAAGCGGTCTCCCATCCGAAAAAGCGGTCCTTCCCCCCCCCCCCCCCCCCCCCTCGCTGTTTTTTTATTTTTTTTGGAGCCTTTGGTAAAAAAATAAAACAATTCGGTGTTTCTTTGAAGATTTCAATTTTTTTTTTAATCTATTATAAATAAATTAAGTATTTATATATATTAATATATAAAAAATATATTTATATAGATATTTTTTTGCTTAGGCCAATGAGGCCAAAGCTACGCTGAATCAGCCCAAAGCATATCCGAATCTAACCAAAGTGTTAGCACCAGACTAAGATTTGTTGCGATCTAGACTTGATATCCGAAGGCTTCAGTGGAAGCAAAACGGATTTGACAACATTGGTTTTAACAGTTTAGATTGACAAGGTATCATCCACCGGCCACAAATTGATTATTTTATTTAAGAACTATATTTATTTAATATTTTTGCAGACACATTTTTTATAGTACACCAAATAAAATAATAAAAATATATTTTGTACAAATTTTTTTTCAAAATACCTATGAACTGATTCAATGGTTGTCTAGGTAAATTTATTTTGTTCAAAATATTTTTCGTTACCTTTACCTGGTGCTCCATAGAAAAATACATTTATATCTCAAATTTTAGTTGGATATAATTTTTAAGTAAAAAGAAAATAAAATTAATTTATAGTGGTTGGATGAGACTAGGTTCAATATGAATTGGTGAAGGGTACTTGTACACCCTTGTAATATCCATATCTATGGTGGCAATCGGGTAACCCAACGGGTTGATCCAAACGGCGTATGGGTGTTGGACCCGACAGGCCAAGTGCAGGTCCAAATGAATTGGACTTGACCTTGGTCAGGTCTCGATCTGATTAGGTTCCACTACATGTCTAGGTTGGGATCAACCCAACCCATTATATATAAGTTTAAAATATATTATAAATATATAAAATAATTTTTTATTTTTTTATTCCAAAACCCAATTCGAATGGGTTCAGGTCGAAATGACTTGGACCCAATCCACGTCCTAGCCGGTCCCTTCCAAGTTAAACTTAGTTAAGTACTGTAACACTCATTAAAACCCAAGTAGATGCTCGACAGCTGGTGGATCGTAAGCACTGACGTTGCAACTTATTTTTTATTCATTGTACGAGATACCATTCAAAAGGGTTTTGGTGTATCTGCCGATGCATATGTTCAAATGCATTCACCTTCAAATTTTCATTTTATAGATGGATTTAGAAATTGAATTTTTATAAGTCAATAATTTTGGCCGCCACAATCATAAATTTAAAAAAACAAAAAATGGATTTTGATTTTCAAAAAGTGGAATATATTTTAAGCTTTATATTTGAGCTAGGGTGTGGTTTGCACATAGCTGAAGCCCTAAACAATCAAAGTAAGACATACCTTCAAATAGAATCAAAAGATGTCGTTTCGGTACAAAAAATCTTTGTGATGGCCTGAAAATTCATTTTCATCTTTAATTATAAATCTTAAAACTTAAAAAGTAATGTAAATCAAGCAGATCTATGAACATTTGAAAATTGACTAAATGCATTACAAGATGCGCGATTTCTAATACTTGAATTCTAATTTTTTTTACGTCTACGTATTTCAAGGTTGAGATAACCCGATTTAAGAGTTTTTTTTTTTACATTCGAAACAACTTGTTCCGATGAATTTTTGAGGTGCCTCTTATGATTGTTTAGGCCTCAAACATATATAAACTTTATCCTTTGCATTATTCGTTTTAGCTCATCCCATATCATCGGTGTGCACTGTTTTTGATCTGTGAAATCATGAATCCAATATCTAGAATTAAAATACTCATTAAGATCCAAAATCCATCGTTAAGAAATTTGGAAGGCGCCACTTGTGAAAACGACTCCATTCATTTCCCTTGGATATTTGAATGAAAATTTGTGGTATTTAGTGTCATATCTTCCTATAAATTGAAGCATTGAAAGAACTGTCTTCCTTATCAGAGCAACACTTCACAGTTGACAGGTACACTTTCACATCTCCCAGTCTGTGTTTTTTTTATAAGGTTGAAATCTTATAGAAACTACACCCCTTTTCTTTCATGTAGTGTTACCGCACTTTGACTCGGAAAGTATTATCCAAAGTCACCTGATGGCGACGCCGAGTTGCCTCGATACCACTCGGGGTACATAAAAAAATATATATATATTCCAAAAAATTTAAAAATATATGGGAATGTATATATTTTAGACGTTTTTGGCGAACTTTTATAAATTTTGTTTTAGATTTCTAAAATGTCCCCAACTACGGATCAAGTTTTTTTAAAATCCATTTTTATTAAGTTTATTTAGATTTTTGAAGGTTGCTTTTGGTTCGATTCAACTTCTATTACCTTTATTTTATTTTTCAGTTTTTTTTTTTTTTAAAAATTGTTTTAGGGTTTTTGGTACTGTACAGGACTGGGGCAAATTACTCGGCCCGCCTCGGCCATGGGTCCGTTTTTTTTGCCAAACTTTGTTGTTCCCTCTTATCATCTGATTACATGTTCTTTAGGAAACTTAAGATCAAGAAATCAGTATTCTCGTTTACTAAGGTCATTTTTGGGTTATGATCTTCTTTTATTGGGTAAAGGAAAAAATAAAGTCATATGAGCTGACCCATCTATAGATCAGTACAGGCCGCATGACTCTGATTGAAGGGGAAAGAAATGGATGGCTAGATCTGTATGTTATTCTTATTATTACTATTATTATTTTTGGCTGGAAAATGTTGGTAAAACAAAAATGTGGCCTCCATTTTCAATCATCCAATCGCTTCTTCTCGTTCAATATAGGCGAGATTATCTTCTTTGGGATTTTTTTTTTTTTTTTAAGAGTCAAATTTTCAAGGTTCTCAGATCGTTTTGCCCAAGTGAAAGATTACTGTTTAAACTCTAAAAATAGAGGTAAATGATGCGACAGTCCTATCCTTGTTCCTGTGAAAATTTTATGGATATATTTCTAATTTTTTTTTTTTTTTGGCAAAAATTCCTCCCAAATTTCAGGTTGGTGGTCAAGATTAACCCACAATGTCCAAAATAGCCCAAGCTCGTTTATTTTTGTTTAATAAAACACCTTTTTTAAACAATAAAAAAATTATGTTTTTATAATAGGAAAATAATCAAAGCACCTCGATAAATCAATAAATAAAGGAGGGCAAAATATATAATTTAGCTAATCAAACAAATCAATGAGGTGGTTAGGATTTTTTAATTCATTTACTTCCCCGGGTGAAATAGTGTAGTTTTAGCATATATGGGGCTGTAATATCCTCAAGTTAATAAAAAAAGAGTACACATGCACTAACCTGAAAGACAAAATACCTGAAAATTGAACAGAGACTGCCTTAATTTTGAACAGTGATTTAAGACATCAAAATTTTAAATTTGGTTTTCAAAAGTGGAAAACGTTCAGCTCTATCAAAACACGTAAACCCTCAATTAAAAGCTCCTCGAAAATTGCAGTTCCGGCGTCCGAAAAATTTTAAATCTATCATCTCGGCCTTGATCATTATGTCTGTGAAAAAAATTATGATTTGAAGCCTAAAAAAGAGTTTATATTGTAACATAATATTTAACTATTTATTTTACCCTAAAAATAAGTCTTCATACATCTTCAAGATCTATACCATTACTTGAGCTTCAAATTTTACAGTGACGTTGGAAATTGATTTTAGAGCTATCATGAAGATTTTTTATTCCCAAAGTACTTTCTGGATGAGCTCCTTAATTTATTTTGACCAAACCATATATTTGATCTGGCGGCCAAAACACTATTTTGACTCTCCTTTTGTTCATTTTTGTTTTAAAGAAATTACTTTTGTTTTAAAAAAAAATTAGTTATAACTTCCTTGAAAATGATGCATATCAAGTTGGGCTTCCTTATTTAATTTTAGAATGGATTTTGATTTGAGATATCTATATATCTCCAAATTATATTCTTAAGAAATGATGATCTTTGCAGTGAGTTAAAGATGATACGAAAGTTTTGGGATCTAACAATTCCCCTTAACTTCGTGTGCAACACATAGGACTAAATGTACAATATGGTTGCACAGGACCACCTAATATATTTTTAAAAAAAAAAATCAAAAAATACCTAACTTTCGATTTAATAGTTAACCTTTTTCAACCATCCCAGCTACTATTCTAACTCATAGTCACACGTATTTTGATGGTATTTTAAAATTAAATAAAGAATGAAGCTTCTATAAAGCCTCACCACAAATCTTCATCTGGAAAGCACTTCGGACATCATAAGTGCTCTAAAATCAATTTCCAATACCAACAATAAAATTTGAAATTCAAAAAATAGTACAAATTTTGCGGACCTCTTAACACTTATTTTTAAAAGGAAATGGATGTTCTAGACAATTCATTACAACATACACTATTTTTAGAATTTGATCCCAATTTTTCTTCACGACTATAATGTTCAAGCTGAGATGATCGATTTAAAGGCTTTTCACCACTTGAATTGCATTTTTTTATGAGTTATGAGGTGTGGCTTTTCTTATTTTGATAGGGCCCTATCCAACCATTTTGAGTAAAACTTTTCAACAAATTACAACCATTCATTTGTTATTGGGTGTGGTTTCTATATGGTTGCAATCTTAAACAATCAAATTAAGGCGCACATCCATTTCATCATACTATGTAATTTTGGTGAAAAAATTATTAGTATTATCTCAAAATCTATTCTCATATCTAATTATGAAATTTTAAACTTAAAAAATGGTTAAAACCAAGCAGATCTAAAAACATATAAAAATATTGAAAATGGACGGTCTAGATAATGTATTATAAAATGCACTATTTTTTTAACTCAAAATCTTTTTTTTTTTCATATTCATACATCTCGATGTCAATATAATAAATTAGAGGTTTTTTCAACATTAAAACAACATTTTCCAACGGAGTTTTGAGGTGCATCTGTAATTCTACATTTTAATGTTGCAACCTTATATAAGCGTTTTCCTTTGTTGTTTATAGTTGCCATCATTCCATTTGAGTTGCCTGTATCCAATCAAACTTTTGGCTATGAATTCAGCCCCAAGTTTTACATCAAGATGCCCCAGTAGGAAATTACAGGTTAATGTTAATTGTAGACCAATAGACCATAGGAAAGGAACATACTATACTAGATCATTACCATCCATTTAAATGATGGACGTTGATGGCGTACTCCAACCGTCATCACCCGGCATCATGACAACCATGGGGCAATGGATTATGGTAACACCATCCATTGGATTATAACAACGTTTTGAGACACACGAGGTCATGTTCCTCGGTCTCTCCCCCGTGGCTGTTACCCCGAGTTACTTGGTACAAAGCGGGGTATATTAAAAAAATAGGAAAATCCTTAAAAATGAAAATATGGGATTGATGTATAAAAATTTTGTGTACTTTGGATAATATTGGCAAAAATTGCTGAGTTTTTTTTGTTTTTTGTTTTTTTTGGCCATATGCCTTATTTTTATTTTTGTTTGGATTTTAGAAATATCCCCAACTATAAATTAATTATTTAAAATCCATATTGTATATGCTTTTTAAAGCTAATTTGTACTTTTAACTGGTTTGATTTGACCTTTAATATTTTTATGTTATTTTTAATTTTTTTTTTTTCCTTTTAAGAACTTTTGGCTCTATACAATACTCGCGTAACTCCACTCGGACTCGTCCAAATAACTCGCCTTGGGACAGGGTTGAATACATGGCCTGAGGCCAGCTCTGAAAAGCTGGATTGTAATATACTTTGTGCAAGTATAATGCTTTGTTGTTCTTAATAATGTAATTTGAACTCCATGCAGTTTCATATCAACATACCCATGATGAAGGCTCTCAAATGCTGGCTACTTACAGTCTTCTTGTTCTCAATCAATCTCCATGTCTCAGAACCTCTCCACACAAAACTTGACAACCTGAAGCTCAAAACTTCAGTTTTCTTGTCTCCCAAATTCATTATGAAACCTGGCACAGTGCAGAACAATTTTTACTACAACATCGACTTTCCAACAGGTCATATTGCCATTAAAGGTTTCGACGCAGAGATTGTAGACGAGGCGGGGAATCCTGTTCCCCTCTATGAGACCTACATCCACCACCTCGCCATTGTCAGGTATTACGCTCCACCTTCTAGTGATCAGAAATCTAAGGATGGTCCGAATTCTAAATTTGTGGTGAGGAATGCCGGGGTGTGCCAAGATGACATACTCAACCAGTATTTTGGGCTTGGGCCAGAGTCCCGTAAGACCCGCACCACCTTGCCAGACCCATATGGGGTTGAGGTTGGAGTCCCTCCGGAGGGGACTCCGGATGGATACGAGGAAGGGTGGATGTTGAATATCCATGCGATTGACATGAGGGGTGTCAAGGACCGTTCAAAATGTGGAGAGTGTAGGTGCGTACCTTCTCTTAGTGTTTTTCCCATTTCTCTCGCAAAAAAGTAAACTTCATGGCGGCAATAATGGATTGGATGGTGATGGAGGAAAAGAGCTATGGAAAAACACGTTAGTTTCATTATACATTCCATTTTTTCTCTATCATTATCATCATCATAGTTTTTTTTTCAATTAATTGGAGTCCGCTGCATGAATCCTAATCCACCATTTTGCTCTATTAATGGCCATACTATCAGTATTCTTCTATATCGCCATCCTACTGTTCTTCTATATCACCATCCAGCCTATTAATCAGAGAGTGATGACACCTATGACCACGCTATTCCTATGATCATGTGTATCATATGACCACACTTTGTCCTCTTTCTTTTTATTGTTTGGAGATTACCCTTCTTACCCCGAAGTTTATGAATATCCATCCCCCCATAAAGAGCTTGAAATAGTGAACCAATGGCATGCTTCTGCTGCCTACTCTCCATCCATCACCGATCAAAATATCGATCAGATGGCAATGATACCTATAACCATATTATTCCATGATCATATCAATTGTTGTACATTTTTCCCTTCTTTCTTTTATGAGTGGACACATATCCACATAAGAGTCATATGTGCAGGTGTGATCTCTACAATGTGACTGAAGATGAAAATGGCAGGAGCATTGAGGATAACTACTATGGTGGTCTGCGCTGTTGTTATGATGGGACACAATGTAGGCTTAAGGAAGGTCTTCAAGGGCTTGGTGCCAAGGGAGTGTACTTGAAGTACACGGTGAAATGGATGGAATGGGATGATAGCATCAATCCACTTAAGATTTACATACTTGATGTTACTGATAGTGGGGAGAGGATTCTAAATTCTACCAGTCCCCAAGGACAATTGGGTTGTCAGGTATAAGTGTATTTTCCTTCTTTCCAAATCGATGAATCAAAACTCGGGGACTCGGACTTGCCTGAGTTACTTGGACCCAACAACCTGTCAAATCTGGAAGCAGAACTCATGGAACCGTTCGAGTCTTGCATGTTCACGATATTTTATTATCTTCGTTTTTGCAGATTCAGCTGAGTCTCTGCCTAACTCAAATGAGCCTAACTCAATCAGGGGACCGTAGCGAGTCCCGACCTGAGTCCTTGTTTTAAATCGCTAACACTATTTAGTAAATAAATGTCTATTCTAATTCATGAGAAAAAAATAACTGTCAGGTAGGAGTGGAAATGGGCCAGGTGGAGTGGCCCCACCCTAAGAAATTAGGACTCGGCAAACAAATGTGGCCCTAGTGCAAGGCCAATACTGGCCCACAATGGCCAAAGAGCTGGGCCGGGCCGAGCCTAGGCCGAGGCCAAGGCCAAGAAAAGGCCAACCTAGCCCTTGTTTCTTTTTCTTTCTTATTTTTTGTTTGTTTTAGTTTTATTTAGTAAGGCCTAGCCTAGCCCTGATAGGGCCAGGGCCGGGCCTAGGGCTAGGGTTCCCCCAGCCCTAGCCCAGCCCTACTGTCAGGTTAGTAGATAATAGTGAGAATATACATTTTCCCATGAGGTTTACTATTTTATAGAACCAGCAATGTGTTAAGCTAACGGATCTGTGAAGCACATATTTGACAATTTTTCTTCAACCTTTCAGGAAAAGATGCTTGATAAATAAAACTGATTTTCATTTATGATACAGGTCGAATATAATGTGGATTCTAATGGTGCACCAGATGCGCATGGCAAAAAGATACACATCAAGAGAACAAGAATTATGATACCCCATGGTGGGGATGTCATTTATGGTATGGCACACCAACACCCCAATGCCATGGGATGTACCCTATATGGCCAGGTAAAAGTTGATACTTTTGATTCATTATTCACTTAAGGATCATTTCCTCTGATAAAGAGATGATATTCTTCGAAAAGCCGCAGCTTTATAAAATTATATTTAAAATCTAACCAAAAAAGGGAAAATATTTTAATAGAGCTGCAGCCTTATGAAAATAAGTAAAGCCTCACCTTAAAATTATCTGAAAGTTATACTTATGACTTGGAAAATCTTCAAAATGATCATCTCCACCTTGACTATTATGGTTGTAAAAAAAAAAAAGATTTCAAGCCCTAAAAATAATGCATATTACAACACATTATCTAGACAAGCCATTTTGCCCTAAAAAAAAATGTTTATGAATCCACAAGATTTGTATCATTTTTTTAGCTTCAAATTTTATAATCGATGTTGTAAATTGATTTTAGAGCCGTTATGGAGATTTCATGTGCCCCATGTGCATTTTGAGGATTCAAGTTGGAGCTTTACTTTGTTTTCATAAAGCTTTGGCATTCTAGATACTGAATCCCTAGAAAAATGCAGTTCAGGTATCCGAAAATCTATTGATCGGTAATCTTGTTGATATGGAAGGAAATAAAAGAAAAAAGGTGTGGTTTGTATAAGGCTGAGGCCCTAAACCATCAAAGTAAATCACACTTAGAAATAGTGATGTTATTTTAGTATTGAAAATCTTCATGATGGCTTAAAAATTTATTTTCATCTCTAAATATAAAATTTAACGCTTAAAATGTTGTCAAGTAGATCTATGAACACTTGATAATCTTGAAAATTGACATAAAAAAATAATGCATCACAAGATGCACTATTTCCAATACTTGAAATCCATTTTTTCTAATTTTCATACATCTTGAGGTCGAGATGATCAATTTGATAATTTTTGGGAATTGAAACTCGTAAATTTTTGAGGTATGCCTTAATTTGATTTTTTAGGGTCTCACCCTTATATAAATTTTTTCCAAAAAAAAGGCTAATTTCTTGCCCTAAATATGATCTATCAAGTATTCAATGATTCACTACATGTGTACCACTTTTCGAGCTTCAAATTCGTTTGTAAGGGGTGGGAATATATTTGTTGGCTATACACTAAAATCGCTGACTCTACCAAATAGTTTAAGTCGTGCCCCCAAAAACCACGCCTTATAATTATGTAAAAATTTGTTGCTCGCACTGGAGCATTATATGTGCTTGCTCCCTCAGGTAAACCTCATGTTAGAGATATCTTTATGACCCCCAATTTTGGGGAAGTAGCCTCAAGAATCTAAAATCTAACCTCAAAGGGAAAACAAAATATTTCAAATAGGACCTTTGTGTCTCAAAAAGATTAACGTCCCATTACTGAAACAGAACTATCCAATTTTTAGAGGGCAAGATCTAGGCACTCAAGAACTTGAAATAGTTTGTTGTTTTTTTTTTTCTGAATGAAAATTATCATCTGATGTATGTAGATGGATCCAAAAATTTTTGATAGAAAAATTCCTTCCAAGTTACTCTTTTACCTGAGGGAGTTGTTGGATAGTATGCTTCCATAGGAGAATGCTTTACACACTCAATAGTTATTATGATAACCTAATTTGTGTTTTTAGTATAAGATTAAACAATTTGTACTTTTTTGTTTAACAATTCTAAGTGCTAATTTAATCACAGAAGGTGAATTACATTAGCATTTGGACCATGGCACTTGCGCTACAATAAATTTCAGACCATCGTTCGTGGCTTCATTTCAGTCCAAGTAAATGATATTTTCTGCCACACTCAATTGGATAATATTTTTTCCCTTAAACGGATATAAATGCTATCTCTTGCTTTCAAATTGCACTAATCGTAAACCACTAATTAAAAAATCGTGTGTCCGACGTAGGAATCAGCACATTCAGGCCGGATCCGAAAACTGGTGATTCCAAACCAAAAATATGAGAACCTCCAAACCTCACCATATTGTGCTCTGTGAATGCATGTTGCTGGATTTTTCATTTCATATCTTTGCTTTGATATTGTATAGTTTATATTGCTGTAAATGTTATACTTCCTTGTTGCTTTTTCACCAATCGATCCCAACAATTGATATCAGAGCCCATAATGGGCCCCACTCAATATGCAATGGTGGGCCCAAAAGACCTATTGGGCCTCCCATGTAATTATATTGTTTTTATATTTTGAGAAATACATAAAATTATTATTTAAATATTTAAATCATTATAAAACCAATATTTCTGTTTTTATAAATCCGAATTTGATAAATAAAATATTCAGAAATTAAAAAAAAACCAAATAACAATTCTAAAAAATCATATATTATTAAAGTGAACAAAATTAAAAAATTTGATGGAAAATGATCCATATGGTCTAAGAATAAATATCCACTGAGGCACTCTATGTCCAACCGCGAACTACGAACCACACATGATTTCTCAAACCGACCCAGCATTACCCATGACCCACAGTCCATGCAGGGGATCATTAGTGGGTCACCAAAGTCTAGCCAATGGGTAAAGGATCGTAGTCCCAGTATATAGATTTCAGGTCCCCTTTGGAGACAAAGCCAACATTATTCTGACCTGATGCAATCCATAGCTCAATGGTGCATATGGAGTATCTCTCAGCCATGCACACGCTTCGTCTTGAAAGGTGGTACGCTCTCTCGAAAACGGTTATCGATGTGCATGCTGTGTGTTGGTACAAATGATGAGACTTTGGTCCTGTCTCTAAAGGCCTTCATCATACACAATAGTCACAAAGTCCTTCGACTCACTCATTCAGGCATATTCCGACCTCATCAAGGGATGACCTATATAACTTCATCAGTTTGATTCTCTGAGCCAGGTAACATGGGTGTTCCCCAACCAAACCGACCTAACACGTCAAACACAATCCAATATCAGCAAACATTACTTGCTTAGTATGGTCTACATGGGACCACACTCCTGTTGAATTCATGTTGCGCTGTATATTTTCCTTTTACAAGCACTTTAATGACCACACACACCCAACAGTTTCTACTCGGGAATCCCCTATGTCGAACCAGAAGGATAGGAAATGGAAACCTTCCGAGTCGGATCCTGATTCCAATTTTTTAATTATTACTAAAAAGTGCATTCTTGTTTTTTTTCGATAACAAATTAACTAACCAACCATGAAACTGTTTCTTTGAAACTAGGATGGTAGAGTGATATGCACCTCCTCACCCACTTATGGCCAAGGAAAAGAAGCCGGAAATGAAGCCGGATATGTGGTAGGGATGGGCACCTGCTACCCGAGACCAGGATCTGTCAAAGTAAAGGATGGGGAGACTTTGATACTTGAATCAAGGTATAGTGCTACTACAATGCACACTGGGGTCATGGGATTATTCCACATTTTTGTTGCAGAATCAAAAGACAACGTTCATTCCCCTCTCTTGATGTAAGAAACCTACTCTATGATTGATGGATGTGTATGTGAAAAGTAACTGAACTATCTGTACCTGAAAATTGTATCGTCTCATAAATACAGTTCTTATTTATATTAGGTGAGTAATTATGACCAACTTAGCTTAAGCAATAACTAAGAGAAATTCATTAGAACCATCGATCTGCTTAAGCATCGTTTGTTTCATGCGATCCCGACAGTTTGCCTTTTTCGAAAATGTGATATATGCTAATTGTTTGGTGTGAGATATTATGCAATATTCAGAAAAATATGAAAAGGCTAATTAATGCAGGAATTGCTGCAAATTAATAGCTCAAGAAATTGCAGTAATGCAGGAAATAAGAAAACTAGGGCAAAAGAGAATAACGATTTTCATTGATTCTGTCGTCCCCGTGATAAAGGCATTGCGTAGATGCTATGCATCACTAACTTTGCAACTAATTTACCAATGTAAGTACAACGAGTACATGCCTTCATTGATGATATAAAAGTATGGGGTGGGCTATAAAACATCCATTTTTAGCTTTAAATTTTATAATTAAAAATAAAAATATCTTTTAAGGCTATCACAAAGATTTTCAATATTGAAACCACATTTCTCGACATTATTTGAAGGTGTGCTTAACTTTGATTGTTTAGAGCCTCGGCTCTATATAAACCGTACCTCTTATCTTTTGTACAAAGAGGTCACAATCACTTTTATCCCTTAAATTTCAAAATGAGTGGTTGTAAGAATGTCATTAAATAGATGCAAACTTTTAAAAAGAAATTTCCCTAACTTCGTGACTTATCCAAAACTATCCAATTTCACATCTAATTTGTGGGAATGATTGTGACTTCTTTGTAATAAAAATAAATGGTCTTTTTGTAGAGAATCACAAAAGTTATTTTGTATAAATTCAAAACGGTGTGTCGGACTTGTCTTGGCAAGCGGACCCCTTGGCCCTAAAAAAATAAAAGAGTTTTGAAAAATAAAAATAAGCAGCAAAGTTAAAATCTAAACCAACTTTAAAAAGTTTAAACAAGCTTAAAATATGAAGAAATATTGGATTTAAAACAACATATGTACAGTCACGGACATGTTTTAAAAATTTAAAAAAGAAAAGCGAAAATATAAAATAGCAATTATAGAAAAAAAAAAAAAAACTGGCCAATCTTTGCCAAATACATCCAAATTATATACAAAATATGAAGATGTTATTTCCGATCCCACTTATATTTGGAAGGTCACTTCAAGGAAAGCTCCAGTTTTGTAGAACCTAAGGGTTCCTTATCATTCATAACTAACATTAGGGCAATGTTTCATGAAACCGTTGTATAGTAACATGATACAACAACTTTCAAAAACCATGTTATGGCTTTAAAAAGTATATACTCTTTTCATTCTAATGAACAATCACAAAAAATAAAAATTTGAAAATGCAATTTAGAAAGTATTTTTTTAACCCAATTAACACAGGCCGTTCATTTCGGTGAGATGCTTATATCTAGGCCTTAGAAAGATTTTATTTTTTATTTTCAATTTTTTTGGATGGCTTTATTATCATTAGATGAACAATGTTCCAAAAGAAAAAACTGATTTTGAGTTTATAAGGGCTAAGATCTTGAAATTCACCAAATGAATGGTCTAGATTCGTTTTTGGAGGGGACTTATTTTGAGTTAATTGAACTTTTTTTTTTTGGGAATTGATAATTGAGATGAAGAGAGTGTGTGCAAAATTTTGGTTCATACAAATACTACAAACATAGTTTTCTAAAAGTACCATTGCATTATACTATGATACAACCGTTGCATGAAATCACTTCCTCTAATATTAAGAAAGACACATATATAATGAAACCATTTATATTTGGTACAAGATGGTCACAATTAATCTTGATTATTGGATGTGAAATTAAATGGTGGAATTTATTCCATTGATTAAACTTGAACTTTTTATTCCATTGACTAAGCTCAAACTTCAAAAAAAAAATTATTATAAAAGCTAAGGGATCACTCCAATTTTGCCGTACCCATTAAAAATCATGAGTGGCAAATAGTGGAAATATGTTTTTGTAATTTAATCCAATACATAGATAAACACATAAGGGACTAGTGTCCTCCAAGATTATATTTCTAGAATTACTTTTTGGTCATTTATGGATGGGTGCGGTTTGTATAAGGCTCCAACTTTAAACAACCAGATGCACTTTTAAACCGTTACAAAAGATGCATTTTTGGCGTTGAAATTCTATATGAAGATATGAAAATATATTTTAAATTTTAATTATAAATTTAAAGTTCAAAAAATAGTACAGAGCAGCGTTTTAAAAAACGCCGAGTCGAACCGGACTCGCCCGGTTCGACTCGGAAATAGTGAAAAAGGAACCGGATCGCCCAAAAATCGGAAATCGTCCGGTTCTAGAGAGAACCGGACGATTCTGTACAGTGAATCGCCGATTTACTGTATGGAATCGGCGAGTCCGAACAGTGAATCGGCGATTCCGTACGGAATTGTTTTTTTTTTTTTTTTTTTTTTTTTTTTTTTTTTTTGGTAATGATAGATTTTTTTTGTAATT